TATCAAGGGTGAAACAGATCACCAGCCCAGGTTGGATGCATGAGACAAGTGCTCAGGGCTTGTGCACTGGGAAGACCCAGAGGGATAGGATGCAGAGGGAGGCGGGAGGGGGGATTGGGATGGGGAACACATGTAAATCCATGGCTGATTCATGTCAATGTATGGCAAAAACCACTACAATATAAAAAAAAATTTAAAAAAGATAAACAACATTAAAGAAATAAAAAGAAAAATGTTAATTTTAAAAATATATTTTATCTAACACAAAATATCAAAAATATCACTTCACATATAATCAATATGAAGTTATTAATACGGTAGTCATTTTTTTTCATACTAAGTCTTTGAAATCCCCTGTGTCGCTCACACTTAGAGTCCATCTGAGTTTGGACTAGTCGCTTTTCAAGGCTCAGTAGTTATGTGTTGCTAATCACTGCCTACTGGACAGTGCAGTTCTAAAGCATCTCTCAACTCTTCCCCTTGTTATTTCCGTAAAATTACTTCAGCTGCATTTTGAGAAGCTGAGAAAGAACACAAGTGTGATCCTATGATGCCTACATAGGAAAAGAGTTCAAAAGAGTTAAAAGGACCACACATACTAAGTTCTGATACAAACTATGGTGGATTAACCTTTGAGACGGAGAGTAAGAAGAGATTCCAAATAGAAAAGCGAGCATCTTAGGCAGCTCCTCAGTAGATTCTGATTCTTAAGAGAGGGCATACGAAATGAGAGCACAACAGTACATACCATGAGATACCCACAAAGGGTCACACACACCTATCAGAACAGTGCTAAGGAAACAGAGCCTACGGTGGACAGATATTTTAAAGGAAAAAGTGAAGACTTAAAAACACACCATTATTATTAACTTTTATTGTACTTCCCATGTACCGACACTGTATATAATAAGCTTTCAACATCATGTCTTTTAATGATTTATCATCGCTTGGGCATAATATATGTCCTGACCAAGGAAATATCAGACATGGAGAATAGTAAGAAGTAACTCATACCAAGTCTATAATGCACTATGCACTGTTCTAAACTTTTTCACTGATTGTTTTATATAACCGCCGTAACAAACCATAAGGAGAT